AGGGAGGCGCGAGGGCGGAGGGGAAGGAGCAGGGGGAGAGGAGAAGGATGTAGAAGGTGGCGCGACACCCACATCACAGACCGTCCCCGACCCGACCTTTGCCGCCGTCGTCTGTTCCCCAGGATGGCCACTGGCAGCATCCTTCTCGCACGGGTCCGTCATGTGTGACTTCGTCCTCGTCGCCGACAGCCGCCGGCAAGCGCGGCGCGCATCGTCAGCCTGCAACCTCGCACCTGACGCCGGAGACGAACACCAGCATTTCTGTCCTCACTGGTGGCCCGCCATTAGAGCTGGGTTTCTTGTGGAAGGTTTCTTGTGGTCGAACTTCTACTGTACTGCGACGTCCGGTCAAGACGACGACAGCTGCCGCCAGAGCCCCTGGGTCTGCATGATCTTAAAGTGCGTGTTTGTGCGTGTGGAAAGAATGGGGACGAAGACTGACAAGAGTTCCTGCTCATGGTGGCGCGTGTTTCTTTATTGTTGGGGCCAGAATGCGCGTTATGGCCCCCCGGCCCCCGCCCCCCATAATGTAACGCCCCGGCCCCGCGTCCCTGGCACTGCCGCTGTGCGCACAGGCATCCGCACAGAAACCCGGATAGGGATCCGCACAGGCATCCGCACAGATATCCGCATAGGGATCTGCCTGGGGATCGCACAGAGAGATCCATCGGGATCCGCATAGGCATCCGCATTGGGATTCCCAGGGACCTTTTATAGAGATCTGCATAGGGATCTGCATAGGGATCCGCATGGGGATCCGCGTGTGGATCCGCATGAGGGTGGTGGTCGCGGGCAAGTTGCGGCGCTCTCAGGCAACTTTGGTCTTCGTAGGAGACAGAGCAGTCGGAGGAGAACGACGATGATAACAACGACGACGACGACGAGAATGGAGGAAGGAGGTAAGGACTTCGCAGGCATGTGCTCGCCACAACTCCTCGTCGTTTGTCATTGTCGATAGTCGTCGTCGTCGTCGTCGTCATCGCTCTTTGTTGTCGGTCGTCGTCGTCGTCGTCATCGTCGTCGTTCCGTCGTGTTTGCTCGTCGTCGTCGTCGTCGTCGTTGTCGTCGGTCGTCATCGCTCGCGGTCGCTCGTCGTTGTCAAACGCGTTCGAATGCTTTCGAGGGCCTCTGGAGGCTTTCGGATGACCTCCTTAAGGCCTCTGGTGGCTTCCAGAGGCCTCAGGAGGCCTCTAAAGGCCTCGGGAACCTCCGGAGACCTCCGGAGGCGTCGTTCGTCGTCGACGCCGTCGTCGTCGTCGTCGTCGTCGTCGTCGTCGCTCGGGGTCGTCGTCGTCGTCGTCGTGGTCGCTCGTCGTCGTCGTGGTCGCTCGTCGTCGCCGTCGTCGTTGTCGTGGTCGTGGTCGCTCGTCGTCGTTGTGGTCGCTCGTCGTGGTCGCTTGTCGTCGTCGTGGTCGCACGTCGTCGTCGTCGTCGTCGTTGTGGTCGCTCGTCGTCGTCGTCGTCGTGGTCGCTCGTCGTCGTCGTCGTGGTCGCTCGTCGTCGTGGTCGCTCGTCGTCGTCGACGTCGTCGTTGTCGCCCGTCGTCGTGCGCGCGGACGCTTTTGTGTCGCGGGAACCGCACGGCGGGGGGGGCATTACGTCATGCCCCGCCCTGGCTCCCCCCCATAACGCCTGTTATCCCCGCGAATAAAGAAACGTGCTCTTGATCTGGGCAAGACGAAGAGCCACAACCACAACCCAGTGGATTTTTGGGGAGGGGCCCTCGTTGGAGAAGCTGCCGACCTCGACATGAGCACTCTGGTGCTTCTGGTTGTTGTCGATTTGGCCGTCCTGGAACGCCACGTCGACCACAACCAGCACGAAGCTGGCTTTCGGTCTTCCGACAGTTTTTCTTGCCAGGCGCAAGACATGTTTTCGATGTGGCTGCGGTCGCTGTCTGTCCCCGCAGTCGAACAGGGCGCGCTGTCGGTGCCGCCGCCCAACGGCAGCAGCCCGCCTGCCCAACGGCAGCCGCTGCCGGTCTTTCACGACATCTGCTGCTGGGCATCGCACCTTTTCTTCCGTACCCACTCCCAGACCCCCCGACGTGATGATTTTTGTTCTCATCACGTCGACCCCCAGGAGGTTCCGACCCTTTCCCCGCGACCGGCTCTGCATCTCGAGCCGTTTCTTGACGCTCCCGAGGCCCGGTGAGGGCCCCCGCGGGCGGGAAATGAGGAATCGCGGGCGATGTTTCTCCCCCAATCCCCGAGTTTCGCCCGAAAAGTCTGGCCGCTCAGAAGAATGGGAAAACCCTGGGATACACCCCAAGGGGGCTATTCGGACGCACCCCTATCGAGGATGGACACCCCCCCATCGTATATCCCAGGGTTAGGCCCCAAATTTCTGGTCCATTCGGAAACCCCACGAAGCCTGGGATAGGGGTCGACATATCCCCTGTTAAGGAACAACCTCCCGCCACGATCTTGTGCATTACTCGAGGGGGCCTGGGCTTCGGGCGCCCCCCTCGGGGAGCCTCGCGCACGCGCGCACGCCCGAGGCCCGCCGACGAGGACGCGGACTTCCTGCGGGCCCTCGAGTTCTCCAGGCCTCCGCCTGGCCTCGGTGCTGCCCCTCACCACCCACCAAACCACCCCAACCCAACCCGAAGGCTCAGATTTACCCTCGATTTCCAGTGGGGGGGGGTCGGGAAACGTCGAAAAAACACGTGTGGAACCCTTACCCCCCCCAACCCGAAATTCGGGTCTTCGGGTTGGGTTGGGGTGGTCTGGTAGGTAGTCAGCCCCCCCGGCGCGCCCGGGGGGAGGGCCAGCCTTCTCAGGAGGCGGCGGGGCTTCTCAGAAGTCCTCGCGCCTTCTGAGAACAGCGGGCTCCTCTGAAGGCGAGGGAGCTTCTCAGAGGCCCTGGCGCCTTCTGAAAAGCGACCTGCGTCTTCGGAGGCGGCTCAGAAGGCTTCTCTAGGGCTCCAGGGGACCGAAAACTGACCTAAAACATAAAAACCCGAGGTCCGCCCCGGCGGCGCCTCCGGCGCCGCCCCTGGCGCGCTCCGCGCGCCAGGGAGGGGGGTCCAGCGCGGATCCGAGAAGTCCGCGCGGACCTCCGAGTTTTTTGAATGTTTATCTTCGTTCCCCCAGAGAATTCGGAGCCTGCTCCGAAGCCGCAGATCGCTTCTCAGCAGGCGCCAGGGCCTCTGAGGATCCCCCTCGCCTGCTGAGCAGGCCGGCCCCTCCTGCCTTCCCCTCGGGCCTTCGGGCACCACGGAGTCTCGTCGAGTCCAGTTCAGGGCTCTGAGGAGGCAGGCACCTCGCTTCTCGAGCTGAGCCGCAGGGGGGTAGTCGGCAGAGTGATTCAACCCGTCTGACCCAGACCTCTGGCGTCGTGTGTTTTTCCCAGCGCGGCTCCCCAGAGAACCCGACCCATTCCCAGGGGCCGGTTTTCTGAGCAGGTTTGTGACGTTCTGGGGGCAGGGCACAGTCGAAACCGATAGTGAGTATGGGTAGCCTTCCCCAGGGGCACCCTTGCCATCCTTGTCCCCTCGGGCCATCCGTAACCCCTCCCGACGGCCAGCCCCGCTCGAAGAGCTTCGAGAGGGGTGTCCAAGGGGCTTGCATGCTTATCGCGCATCCTTACTATCAGTTTTGACCGTGGGCGGCCCCCGGAGGCGGAAGACTGAAACAGGTTTCCTGCCTTGCTTGTTCTGTATGCCACGCGAGGAGGCCAGGGGTGGTCCAGACTGTCCTGGAAAAGTAAGGCAACCTCAATCGTCGATTTGTTTGTTGTCGTCGCCTCCGGCTCTCGTAGTTGTTGGCCTTCGTGGGCCGCCCCCGGGCCCCAGGACCGTCAGAAACGGACCCGGGATGAAGACTTCGCCCAGGGAAGTTCCCGAGAAGGAAACGCGCCCAGTTTCGAAGACTACGCCCAGGGATGAAGACTACGCCCAGTTTAGAAGTTCCCGGGATGAAGGCTACGCCCAGTTTCGAAGACTACGCCCAGGGAAGTTCCCGGGAATATTCTTCGACACGACCTGCGAAAGTTGCGTTACGTTTCCAGAGGGGTGCAGGGCGGGAGTTTCCGTCTCTAGGTGTTCATGCAGGATCTCTCCAGCCGGGTCGATCCGCGCGGGGTCTGGGGCCCAGGGAGAGCGGGGCAGGAACTCGGATCGCTATTTTCCAGGCAGCACGGGGGACATCACGGGTTATCTATACGAGTCTTATTTGTCGAAATATCGGTCGTTTGACTCCTCTACCGAAATCTTGGCCAGCTTTCCCAGCCGCGAAAGCGCAATGAAACAAAGAGGAGGACCTGTATTCAATGGCCCTCGGCCAACCCTGCCACCGTGCCTTGGTCGTGGACGATGACGTCCGAGGAAGGCTCCTGGGTCTCTTGGGAGGCCTCTGGGGTCTTGGGGGCCGCTTGAGGGGTTTGGGGCCTCTGGGGGCCTCTTGGAGCCGTCTTCGGGCGTTCTGGCAGTCTCGGGGGCCGTCTTGAGAGGAACGGCAGTTCGGGTTCCTGGAGCCTTTGAGCCATCCTGGGGCCTCTTGGGCCGTCTAGGGGTCCTTTGGGGAGCCTCTTGGACTGACTTGGGACGATCTTAGGATCTTGGGTGGTCGGAAGCCCGGACACGCGTTAACCAGGTTTTCTCTTCGAAACGCCCTGGGCGTTTTTCTTTGTTTACCGGTTTGCACTTAGGGCTTCTGACAACCTAGCAAAACGCAAAAACACGCGACGGTGTTTGAGCGTTTTTAGGTCAGCTGTTTCAACGTTTTTCAAGGCCCGTCGCTGTGGATCATACGTTGTTTGAGCGTTTTTTGCTTTCTGGTCGACAGCTCTTCATTGTTTTCGCTGCTGTCTTCGCTCCCGAAACGACAATTTTCGTGTCTTATCGAAGCATGTTCGCAATCTCGTTGACGTATGTCTGAGTCGGCTGAATGATATCGTCGAACAGCTTGATTATGCCTAGAATTTTAGATTCGTTCTTGCCCAATTCGCGAATCTCGGGCCGGGCGAAAGGGGGGGATTGGGAAAGGGGGGGTTACGAAATTTGCTGCATGCAGCTGGGTTCGGCCTCACCGAGGGGCCCATTCCTCGATACATGGCCGCCTCCGGCGCCGGGAGGCGCCGGGAAATCAGCTACGTGAGCTGATTCTCAAACCCCCCCTTTGCTATCCCCCCCTTTCGCCCGACCCGAGAATCTCAGCAATCCTTCGTGAGTGCGGTTTCCGCTGCTCGAATGCATCCGTTCCTGCCGCCGCTTCCCCTCCCGGAGCAGGCCCGGAGGCCCGGTGGCCCGAGGGGAGGGGCAGGCGGCCATCGGGGCCGCCAGACGGCACGCCGGGAGAAGAGCTGCACGCCAGGATCGGGGGAGCGTAAGACCCAGGTTTGCCAGGACTCGGGTTCGCCATCGTTTTTTGACGACCGCGCCTCGGATTTTGACGAGGAGGAGTTTCGTGGGATGTCTGCAGCGGGAGGCCTCGTCAAAATGCAGGCTCGGCCTCGTCATTTTTTTGACGACCTCGTCGGGGATTTCCGAGTCCACCGTACCCGGGTCTTACGTCTCCCCGACAGGAGAAGGAACTGAGGACGTAGATTTTAACCGTGCAACCAGCATTTGCAAGGGCGCCCTCGAGGGCGCGAAGTTATTCGCGCTTCGCGCTTCGCGGCTCGGCTCCGATTCCTCCTCATCCTCTTCTTCTCCCCTGGGAGGCGGCGCGAGAGCGCGAAGTTGTTCGCGCTTCGCGCAGCGCGAAGCGCGAAGTTAGGTGCTCTTATTTTAACCATGCAACCAACTTTTGAGAAAACGCAGAAAGTGGTCATGCTTTGATTCGTTGTTTTGCCGATCGGCGCCGGCCCTGGCCCCCCCCCCTCCCCCCCCCTGGAGTAGATCTTGGCTGTCTTTGGCGCCTGTTTCGAGCATAATGGACGCATTGCTGCAAACAGTCACAGTAAGCAGAAGTCCAGAGCCAGACCCCCCCCTCCCCTTGCCGCCCAATGTCGAAACGCCAAGTAAAAAAAACGCTCACAAAAACGTAGCTGAAAACGCAGCACCACATATTCCTATGTAGTTATGTTTAAGCGTTTTTAGTTTGTGTTGTTGGGACCTGAAGGCGCTAAACCAATGATTTCCAACACGCCGAGTTAAACAACGGTTGAGCAAAGCCCTGGACATATTTCATAAGAGCCAAGACGTTCCGCCAACATGGTTCAAACAACCGAAGGAAATTATATTACATTTTGACTTCAGGGGTTCTGATGTGGTTCTGGACAATCTTGGGGCTATCTTGGGTCCTTCTGGGAATGTCCCTGAGACATCGTTGGGCCTGCCACCCCTCGATCTCGACTCTTGGGCTCGCTTGGAGCTCCCTCTTGATTCCTTGGGGCGCTCTCGGAGCGCCCTTGGGGTCCCAGAAGGCTGCCCCCAGGAGATCCGGCATCTGTGGCCTCCACCCTGACGGGACCCTGCTGGGGTACCCTGCGTCTGGGGACCACGGGCGCGCGCGAATCTGCAAGCCAGCTGCCCCCAGCAAGTCCCGTCGCCATGCCGCGGGGCTGGGGGGCTCGGGGCAAGGGGCCTCGGTCGAAGGAGAAAAAACGCCATGAACATAAACTTTTGGCGCTCCGAGCGGATTTCTTGGTTCCGCGGTGGGCCCCCCTCCCTGGCGCACGGAGCGCGCCAGGGACGGCGCTGGAGGCGCCGCCGGGGGGCCCAGCGTTGATCCAGGAAATCCGCGCGGAGCGCCAACACTTTATGTTTGTGGTTAAGTGGGGCGTGTCCCTCCACAGGAGGAGTATTCAAACACCGTCTTCTGTCCTGTCTCCGTGCGGGCCTCGATGGATCTCCTCTCAGGCTCCAGCTCCTGGGAGGTTCAGCTCAGCATCGGCGCCAGTCTTGGGCCTCATCCTGACGGAGCCATCCTAGTCTGGCATGGCACGAAGCTCGAAGGTCTCAACGAGCGTCGTTTGAGCACGCTGGGAGGAAGAAAGGGGGTGGAGGTGTTCGAAGCCCACCGCCTCACAGGTCGGGCGGTCCCCGGAAATCCCAACCCTTTCCCCGGGACCAGCTTCTCATCCGGAGCCGTTTTTTGATGGCCCTGGTGATGGGCCTGTTTTCCACCACCACCATAAGTTGCAGGGGGGAATGAGGTGGAGGACGAGAGGAAGGCCGAAGAGGACGAAGAGAAGGAAGACGAAGAGGAGGAGGAGGAGGAGGAGGAGGAGGAGGAGGAGGAGGAGGAGGAGGAGGAGGTAGAGGAGGAGGAGGAGGAGGAGGAGGAGGAGGAGGAGGAGGAGGAGGAGGAGGAGGAGGACCCCCTCCCCCTCCAACTTCTGGTGGTGGTGGTGGTGGAAAACAGGCCCATCGCCTGGGGCCCCGTGGGGGACCCCCCGAGGCCGACGGCGGCCGAGCGCCTCCCGCCCAGCTTCTCTCGCGCGGCGCGCGCGCGGGCCTGGGGCGCCCCGGCCTCTCTGGCGAGGCACGCGCCGGCGTGGTCGCCGCGCCGCTTCCCGGGGGCTTCCTCAAGCAGTGGCGAAGCGTCCTGGCTCGCCTATGGCCATACTAGGGGGGCGACATGCGAACCCTACCCCCGCCCCCCACGATTTTTCTGAGGGGGAGGGTGGGGATAGGGTTCGCAAGTGGCCCCACATACCAAGCAATTTTCCACGAGATGTCTTAGAACAGTTCTGGCGGAGCCTGTCTTGTTTTAACACATCGGGTCTATGTTCTAAGAACATAGTTTTTGTTTTTCGAACATTTTTGGGTTCTGAGCGAATTTCGTGGTAAGACTACAGGAATGCCGGGACGGTCGGTCCCTGCTCAACTTCCCGCGGGGCTCCCGGCGGCGCCTCCACTCCGCGCGGCCTCTCGCGTGAAGTCGGGCGTGTCCTTCTACAGGAGGAATAAGATTCAAAAATAGCCAAACAAAAGTCAGGGGACAACTTTTTTAAGCATGTTTCCGGCTCTTCTTGAGCATTTGTCGGATTTGTTTTTATGTTTCGTCCAACATCCGCCTGCAGGGGGACATGCCCGACCGAAATCTTGCGGCCCGAGCCGATCCGTGAATGCCGGGGGTTCGTCAATGGGGGTTGTATCCCAAGGTGTGGCTAGGGCTTAAGTCGGGCAGGTCCCTCTACAGGAGGAGTATGACAAATAGTCACAGAGAAAGTGTCTGGGGACGGTTTTGCGATTATGTGCTGATTGGTTTTTGGAATCTGTTTTGGCCATTTTCGATTTTGCCTCCAAAATCCGCCTGTAAGAGTGCCTGCTCGACCTGAGGTTAGGGAAAGAACCCAGCGGGATGCTCACAGTTCTTTCTTCCGGGGGCTATCCGGGGTGATGCCCCTGTCACTCGGGGGTGGACAGAACCCCCACCCTGTCACGTCGACTAGTGAATTTGCCGTTTTCACTCCATCACGTCTTACGAAAGGGGCTTCTGTCCATCCCCGGTTCACTCCCCCTCCGCCCCTGCCCCCGCCTCCTCTGCACGTGCCCCCGGGAGGGCCGAGCACGGCGCAGAAGCTCCGTGCGGTTTTTTTCTCATCTGCGCTGGGTCTCTGGGAATCCCCCCCCCCGGCGGCGTCAGGCCTCGTCGGTCACCGTCGGGCGTCGGCGTCGGCGGTCGTCGTCGGGCCCCGTCGGTCACCGTCGGGCGTCGGCGTCGGCCTCGTCGGGCGTCGACGGCGCCGCCGCCGCCGCCGTCGGCCGGGCCCCCCCCCCCCCCCGCCCTGCGTCAGGAGGGAGAAAAAAGGACACAGACACAATGAATCGTCGATTCCCCAGAAGGTACGGGAAGCTATGGGAAGGGGGGGGGGGAAGGCAAAAACCGAGCAAACATGGGGAAAGATGGGGAATCCTCTCCATGTGTCAGACGACATGGGAAGCTGTGGGAAGTGGGGGGGGGAAGACAAAAACCACGAAAACACGGGGAGGTATGGGGAATCCTCTCATGTGTGTGTGTGTGTGTGTATCTGCTCGTGTGTCCTGCGGCCCCCGCCCTGCCGGAGCGCCCGGGGGCACGGCCGGGGCCTGGAGCGCCGCCGGCAGGCTGGAGGCGGAGCTCGCGGCCGCGGCCCCGCCGGGCGCGGAGGAGGAGCGGCGCTCGCCGGCCGCCGGCGTCGTGCGGGGGGCAGGGGCAGGAGGCGGTGGATCGCAGACGGTGGCATACAGTGCCGTTTTTTTTTGTTTTGTTTTAATATATATATATATATAATAATAATAATCATCAGAATATTAATAATAATAAAAACCTTAAACATAATATATACATGCTCCGCGTGCGGATCATGTGTTAAACATGCAGGGATTGAGGATGAAACACAACGATGAGTTCATGCATCAACTTATTCATGCATTGATCATGAATCATGTAGTATAAGTCCTATAGTTTCAAACATCCCATGCATAAACAACTGCCCTGTAAGTCCGGCACGTCCCTATACAGGAGGAGTGTTAGAAAATAGTAAGCGAATAGTCTGGGAACGATTTGTTTGATTATGTTTTGCTATGTTTGAGTATGGTTTTGCTCTCCCAAAATCCGCCTGCAGAGAGACATGCCCGACCTACGGACAGGAAAGCAGCCCATGGTGGATTTACGTTGTCCGAGGCACCTCGTTCTCAGGACCCCATCTCTCAGGACTCAGGACCCCATCTCTGAACCACCAAGGAAGTTTTTCCAGTCACGCGCACAAGGGGGTAGGGGAAGGAGGGAAGGCTTCTGAGAAGCACCCTGCTTCTCAGAAGGCGCGGGCCTTATCTATAGAGGTAAGGCCCGCGCCTTCTAAGAAGCAGCCTCCTTCTCAGAAGCCTTCCCCCTCCCCCTACCCCCTTGCGCGCGCCGCCAACTTTTTCAATCGCTTCGCTCATTGCGCCGACCAATTTTGCATCACTGGCTGCGTGGTCGTGTGCTAGTGCCCAGGTGGAGGGCAGTACCATCTTTGAGGAAATCTTTGACGATGTGGCTCGCACCCTCTCGAAGGGAGCCGTTAGACTGCCCCAGAGGGCGCCAAGATGGCTCAAGAGAGCTCTAGAAGAGTTTCGAGACGTATT